CCGCTTCTGCTGCTTCTGGCGGTGCTGCTGGGCGGCGCGGGCGCGCAGTATTCCAGCGACCTGTGCAGCTGGAAGGGGAGGTGAGTCTCGCGGAGCGACCCCGGCCCAACCCGCCCGGATCTAGGTCCTCCGGTACCGTTGGCTCTGCTCCCGAGCTGGGACCAGCGCGGCGGGATCGGGGGCCGCTCTCCAGGCCGAGTTCGATGTCCCCATCCCCGTCCCTGGTTCCAGAACAAAAGAGCCCGAGGCGTCCAGGTCCCTGCCCGAAGACGCCTGGGGAGTCACCTCCGCAACACCGCGGGGTCTGCCCAGGCCGGCCGCCCACTCGTCCCGGGCGCAGCGCTGGTCCTGAGTCCAGAGCTCAGCTCAGTGGGAGCCGGAGCGGGCGGGGTCCATGGTCGCGCCCTCCGGATTCCTGCCCGTGGCGGGAGCTGTGCGCCCCAGGCCGGGAGGAGCCGGGCAAAGCGAGAAGGGATGGCCGGGTGCGGCGGTTTCGGGGACGGAACGAGACCCACGTTGACTGTAGTACGTCCGCTGGGCGACCAGCCGCAGGCGGACACCTGTGCGCCGGGCCGAGTGTAACCGGGCAGAGCCCCCCGCCCGACCCTGTGAAGGTCAGGCCGCCCTTGGCAGCCGCGCGCCGGGCTCCGCGACCCCCCCTCCCCCGTTCGCGGTGGCAGCCGAGGACTTTTTAGAAACCAAAGTGTGACATGTAGAAAGGGGTGCAGGTCACAACTGTGCGCGGGCGCGGTGCCTGGGAGCCGCAGCTACTCGGGAAGGACCCAGTGACGTGCCGGGCACCCAGGAGGTTCCTTGAGCTTAGTGGAGCTGGTTTTGTGCGGTGGAAGTTGACAATTCAGCAGTTTGTGAAGCGCGCTGCGCTAATGCGCGTCTACTCTGCAGACGCTGTGGGTTGGGGCTACCCTTAGGTCTGGTGTCGAGGTCGGGCGCGCGCCCACCCAAGCTTGTAGTCCTTGGGCTGATAGTTAGACTCGAGCGGCAGACAGCTCATTCTGGGTGGGGGCGGTCACGGGTGATTTTTGTGAAGCCGTTTTTCCGAGAAGACTGGGTGTTGAGCTGGTGCGCCAGGTTCTGCGTCAGCAGGGCATGGCTGGTCATCTTGGACATTCACGGCATTTAGTTTTCTGAGGAAACCACAATGACCACAATCAACTCCCCCTCCCGATGGGAAAGACTCCTGCCAAGGGGTTGGACTTGAAGATCAGCCCCTGGCTCCTGAGACCTCTGGGCACTGCCTACCTCACTGGGAGCTTTCTGCCTCCCTTTCAGTAGAAATCCCCCTGCCTGCGGGAGCTGAGATTGGGGCTGAGGGTGGCTGGAGCTTTGGGGGAGGGCTGGCCTCGGGAATGCTGGCGCCAGCACAGAGCTGGCCACGAGCCTCTGATGCTGACTCTCTGGGACTGCCCTTTCTCTAGCCATAATAATCAAAATCCCTGCTCTCAGCCTCCTCTCGTGGATCAGTGCACCCCAGCTCAAGGCTTTGGGGTGTCCTGCTCCAGCAGATCAAAACCAGAAAACCCAGTCCCTGTCTCTGAGCTTGGGTTCCAGTTGGAGCCAACTTCCTTCCCAGGTCCTCAGAGGACTGCATGTCTCGGGCTACAATTCCAAGCCTAGGGTGCCCAAAACTCCAGAGGTTTAGGTGTTTGCAGAAGGGGTAGGTGTGCTGTCCAGTGCAGAAGCAGGAACACTGCCTGGGCCCCTGGCCTTGTCTGCCAACATCCTCCTTGGACTCCCTTGATGGCACCTCTCCCAAAGTCTGAACCTAGCGAAGGACAGCTGAGGGACCCTTGGAGCTGCCGGAGAGGAGGTAGGGCCTGGAGCATAAACCAAGCTCCCTTGTCTTATAGCTGCTACCCCATTTATCAATACACTTCACACATCAGCTGACTCCTGCTGAAACCCGGGAGTCTGCTGGCTTTCTTGCTAACTCCATGGTTTGTGACCCTTTAGGAGCTGTTGGAACACAGCACAGGGCGGAGCAAGCAGGTGGATTCTGACCCCTGCTAGGAAGGGACACTGGCCACTCACATTGATGTGCTGGTGCTTCTGGGTATTTCTAAGCAATCAAATTAGAGATTTTGAAATCCTTCTTCCTGTGTAGGAGGCAGGACCAGTGCCTCAATCTTTATCACCCAGGGACCATAAAGGTGAACCATGAACTTTCCCACTGGCGTCATGGGGTAGAGCAGGTGCAGCCACACCTGGGCTCTCTGGCAAGATGGGGAAGTGGAAGGCAGCCTTGGGGGCAGAACCTCTGACTTTGCCCAAGATCCAGGACCAATCTCACTCCAGCATCCCCAACTGTCTTGTCCTGGTGACTTGAGGTTCGCCAGCTGTAGGTGTGAGTAGTTTGGGGCTGGCCACATACCAATTGCAGGCGTGAGCTCAGCTTGCTTCAGCAGATCCTTAGAAGTCTGCTGGATTTACCATCTTTTCCATAAAGGTGCCCACAGGCATGTCTACCTGGGTGATGCTTGCTGATTTTTTTAAATAAAAGCATTAATTCAGCTTAACTAATCTGATTAAATAGCCTTGCCAGTGTCACGATATGGACTTGATCCAATTCTGTGTGCACCCTGTGGTTTCATCACAGCAGTGCGGTGGAGTTTGCAGTTTTGCTTAGTGTGGCACCTGCATCTCTTGAAGATGCTAAAATGCCATCATCAATGCCCATTAATAATGTATTCACTTGTGCAATTGTAGCAACCTTACATAGACCTTTTTTTTCCTATTTGCTGGCTGCTTGATATTTGGTTGTATGGCAGGAACCAACACAGTTGTTGGTCTACATGAGGGTCTTGCTGGATGTCTGGTTGTGGGGTAGGAACCAGGATAGTCGTTTGTCTATGTGGGGGTCTTGAGCAATACCTGCTACTGGTTCCATGCTGAGCATCTACTTGGATTCCTGTTGACCTGATGTTTTGGAGAATGGAGAAGACACAGTCACTGGCCCTGGGATGGGTATAGATATGGCTAAGGGTGAGGAAATGGGCCCCTCATTTCCTGTGGGTCCATCTCTGTTTTACTTCCTTCTCATTAGATGGAGCCAGATGGACATCATGGGAAGCTCTTGCCTCCAGTGTAGGTGGGGTCAACAGCCTCCAGACTCAGGTCCTTCTGCCCTGGTACCGTGGTTGGACACTATCACCTTGAGGGTTCCCTCTGCTCTGCCTGAGTTGGGGTGGGAGGCAGGCTTCCCTGTTCCCCCCTGTGCAGAAGAGTACAGTGCTTCAGAGATTGGTGCTGGGCCTCTGCCCTCCCAACCCTCAGGGCCCTGAGATGGAAGCAAAGATGTGGACTGGGCAGTTTATTGGGGAAAGAGAATTGAGCATTGTGCCTGGACCCAGGGCAGGTGTCAGTGTCTTGATGCCAGAGACTGGAGACTGCACTGGGACAGCACTGACGGTGGCCAGGTGTGTCTGCCTTGCACCACTTGGTACAGTTTCCACACAGCTCTGTGACTGCCCATCTCTCCATAGGTGTCAGAGGAGCTTGTGTGAGTTTTAGTTTGCTCTGCGTGTGTCACCCAGGGCCTTGTGGGGGTGGGCAGTGGGCCAGAGGTTTCACCCTTGATGCTTCCTTCTGACGTAGTCTGCAGAGTGACTCTGTGGCCTCAGCCTGCAGCCAGCCATCATAGCAAAAGCGAGGTTCAGGGGCCCCATGCCTGAGTCACCCGGCAGTAAATGGGAACTGTGTGGTGCCCTCTCTCCTCTGCAGAGTGTTCATAACCTGCTGGGGCCAGGGCTCTGGAGTTAGCACTGCTCATTTCACATAAAAATCCTAAGAATGTGGGCAAACCTGTCTGAGATCTGATCAGAACCAAATTTCAAGTAATAAGACACTTATCTGAAGTCGTTGGCTCAGTTCCAGGTCTGCTGGTGCCCATGACGTCACCGTCAGCGAGGAGCTGGCATTTACATTAAAGTTCTGGGCTGCTGAACCCTGTTTTGGTTGCTTTGATTTCTCAGGGCCTGCCTGATGAGAGCAGCACCTTCACTATCTTCCTGTTGAGCCCTGGGGGTGTGCGCACAGCCCCGGGGGTGTGCGGCCTGGTTACCCTCGGTCCTTTCACCCCCAGGTTGTTCCCTTGCTCTTTAGTGACAACTGAACTTGCTTTTAGAAATGATGGGCCATGCAGGTACCCCAGGCTGCCCAGTGAATGAAAGGAGAGTGGACTGTCACCTTGGAGGAAGTGCAGCGAGGCTGCCCAGTGCAGCAGAGCCTGTGCGGCAGAGGCGGAGCTCGTCCCATTGTCAACACTCCTAGCTGGCTGAGAGCTGTCCTCTGGAGCATGTTGTCAGAGGTGCTGCCACCTCTGTACCTGTGTGAGCCTGGCTTTTCACCCAGTGGGGCTCTGCCTTGCTTTCCACTGAGGTCCAGGCCCTCCTGGGTGATTGGAATTGGCTGAGCCTGGAGGGCGGGGCCCGGGTCTGGGCACCTGGATGCCTGTGCTCCTTGGTGGGTGCTGCGTCAACCTGCCTTGACTCTGGAGTGGGCCCTCTGGAGGGAGCCTGTGGGGAGGCTAGTAGAGGTGGCTTGCTGGGTTCTGCCGCTCCGTGAAGGGGAGGTGGGCACTGAGGCAGGCAGTGGGCTGTCTGTCAGCAGTTGTGGAGGGGTTGTGGTTGTGGAGGGCTATCTCACACACTCTTCGGGGACGTGCAGGGGTGGAGCCTCCTGATAGGTGTGCCAGGGTGGGGCTTACACTCTCCTGACAGGTGTGCAGGGGCAGTGCCTGCACTTCTGGGTGGGTGGAGCGTGTGGACAGGGTGGGGCCTCACAGGCTCTCCTGGGCAGGGGTGCGGCCTCCCCCTGGGCTCTGACTGATTCTTCTGCTCATCTTCTGCAGCGGGCTGACCCATGAGGCTCACAGGAAGGAAGTGGAGCAGGTATATCTGCGCTGCGCAGCCGGCTCCGTGGAGTGGATGTACCCAACTGGGGCACTGATTGTCAACCTGCGGCCCAACACCTTTTCGCCCTCCCGAGGGCTGACTGTGTGCATCAAGCCCTTCAGTGGCTCCTCTGGGGCCAACATCTATCTGGAGAGAACTGGAGAACTGAGGCTGCTGGTGCAGGATGGGAGCAGCCATGCCGGACAGGTGCAATGCTTCAGCCTGGAGCAGGGTGGCCTGTTTGTGGAGGCCACACCCCAGCAGGACATCAGCAGGAGGACCACGGGTTTCCTGTATGAGCTGACAAGCGGGCGCAGGGGGCTGGGCCACACACTCTCTGGTGAGTGGACCAGGGGATGGGGTTGGCGGGGGTGGGGGGTGCTTACTGTGTTGCCAGACGCCCGGTATTCTCCATGGCTCCCTGTGAAGGGGTCATGACCTGGAGTGGCACACCTGCCAGGCCACGTTTGTCTGGAAAGCCCTTTGAGTCCCCTGTACACAGGCCCTCATTGGGGGGCAAGGGGGGTGTTGGACCTCAAAACCAAACTACCTTTGAAATACACCCACCACCCCTTGAGATGCCGCAGCCGGGGACCTTGGTGTTCCTGACCTGGTGGAGCAGTGCATGTTTGACCAGGGCGGCTTGGGGTGCAGATTCCAAATCCACCGGGTCTGAGGCATTTGAAGAGGGGCCATGCTTCTGCACGGCCCGTGAGCTGGTCCTGGTCTTGGTGTCTGCAGCAGGAGCAGGTGTTGGGCTTGGAGGAGGGAGGGGTGGTCCTGCACCCGTCAGTTCTGGGGAAGTGGCTGCTCTGCTCTGCAGGACAGATGCAGAATTCTGAAGGGGCTCTGGCTGGCCGTGAGACCCCATCACCATGGCAGTGCCTGAGGGGCCTCAAGAGGCATGCCTAGGGAGGACTCCTCCCTGGATGGCGTGGCAGCCTCAGGCACCAGTGCAGTGTCCCCTTTGGACAGTGTCTGACAGCATGAGAACCTGGAGAGGTCCTGACAGAAAGTCTCTCTGAGGCCAGTTGGGCCCAGCATGGCGCCAGCAGACTGTGTGTGCTGTGTGAGGGCCATGGGCTCTGCCTTGGGGTTTTTCCCGCCTTGAGGTATGCAGACTTTCCTGACCTGGGGGTTGTGGACAGTGCTGGTCTCTAGACAGCCCTGCAAGTGGGCACAGAGGCGATGTCCTCAGATCCTGCAGCTTCAGGGCAGGTTCCAGCCCGTGGGCTGTGAGCAGGCAGTTCCCCTTTCCTGGGCCAGTGATTATGGAGGATGGGAGGGCCAGGGGAGGGGATGCCACACTCTGGGGCCCTGGAGGTAAACTCGCCATGCAAATAACACCTGGGGCACTCTGAACACGTGAAGTGGTGGTCCAGGTAGGAAGACCTGTGAGTGTCCTTTGTGCGATGAAAATGGGGACTGGCCTCAAGGACATTCTGCTGGGCTCATGTTTCCTGTGGCCGAGCTCTGCCCTGGTACAGGATGTGTCTCAGCAGCTTTGGGTGTGCTGCTGTCTGTGCACACCTGACCACTCACATTTGCACACATAGCACACACAGTCTGCCGGTGCCATGCTGGGCCCAACTGGTAAGCTGGGATGGTGGCAGAGCCTGGGAGCTGCCCCCTACTCTCCTGTTGTTGCCCCATCCTTCCCTCTGCCCATGCGTTCAGGCCAGGGCTTATGGCCTGTGGGGTTGGTTGCACTGCCTGGGTTCCCACGGGGTCACTGGGGGGCAGTGGCTCTGGCACAGGCACCTGCTCTCAGGCATCTCCTGCATGGTGGGGTCCCATGCAGGACAGTGGCTCCATGCCCAGGGCTTTGCTCTGTCTTGAGAGTCAGGTGCTTGGGGTTCCCTTGCTATCCTGTAGCATACACTCTTCTGGCCCCGGGGTATCTGTCCAAGTCGGGCCTGCAGTGACTTGAGTGCCCTGTGGATGGCAAGAAGCTGGTCAGAGGCAGCACGTCCATGCAGCTGCCACCAGGACTTGCGATGAGGACCCAGGCTCTGCTCCACTGGGGCCCTAGGGGCTGGAACCCAATCCTGGCATTCCCAGAAATGGTCAGAGGTGCCATGTTCCAGTGATGGGCTCTGGCAGGGGGTACAGGGCAGCTGATGGACTCTTCCCCTGGGGTGTTTGATTTGTATCAGGGGATGGGAGCTGCTCAGCGGTTAATGCTGGGGGAATGGGTACGTAATGTGGAATGTGGGTGTCAGCCATCTGGCAGCAGTGTTGTCCTCCCCAGAGGGCCAGCTCCAAGCTTTCTCTGGCCAGCACCAGCATCTTCTGTTCTGGCTGTTGCTGCGGCCACGGAAGACTGCTAGAAGCTGGGGCCCGGGCAGCGGCGGAGCACCTAGGGCCAGCCCAGGTGGTTGTGCTGTAGGCAGAGGAACTCGCAGTGAATTGGAGTTCTGGTTTGTACTGGGAGAAGAGGTGCTGTGAGCCAGATCCTGCTCCAGTGTGTGTGCACTTGTGTGAGTCTCACTCCATCCCGCCAGTCCATCCATATTGCAAAATCAGCTTCTGAGACACTAGGAGTCAAGAAGACCAGAGCAGAGGTACATGCTGCTCCTCCAGGGTTACAAAAAGGGGGTCAGGCAGTGGATGACCCCAGCCCTAGGGATCACTCCTCCAGGGGTGCAGGACAGAGATCAGGCAGCGGATGACCTCAGCCCTGGGGCACACTCCTCCAGGGATGTAGTATGGGGGTCAGGTATTGGATGACCTCAGCCCTGGGGCACACTCCCCCAGGGA